ACCTGATGCAACGAATAAAACAAGAACTACGCGCTTTAAGCGCCAACTATATATTAGATTCGTTGAGAAGTATGTAACAGGTAGAAGGAAGCGTTTCCGACCCTATAAAGAATTATATTTATATTCTTGATCAGGATCAGTAGAGAACACGATTGAGCCATGTTCGTCTCTCTGTCCGTATGAACGCTGAGATCTCAGGAACTATAAAATAAATATAATAAATATAATAAATATAAAAAATATAAATAAATAAAGCGCTGAAATCTCTAGAACTATTAGAGCTAGAAAGTTGAAATTCAGTATGTATAATCTTTATATGCCAGCGCCTCTTAAAGTGGTACCATTATCCGACCACACCCACTCATACGCTGACAAGGCTCAAAAGATGGATTTGCATTTTTTAGAAAAGATGATATCTCGGTAACTATAAGAGATAGAAAGTTTGGACTATAAGATACCGCGACTATAAGATACCCGTTACTGTTTTACACAATTTTAAAATATTCATTTTGCTAGTGAAAATTCACAGAACGCCACCTATTGTCAGAGAAACCATATTGAGTAACTGATGGTGACGTCACTGCCCATGTGGGACCTTAAAACCTACATTTCTTCATAAATAGCGAAATAATGTTCCGATTTGAAAAATCTTTGGTAAATCGATAGATATTGATAAAAATATGTCATACAAGGTCAAACGATGGCATACTATGTAATATTATAGACGCCACAGTTTTTCGCGGTTTGTGGGTGTTAGAGTGGGCGTGACCGAATGAGTTGCTTTTGTATCTGATAAATACGCATTCCCAAGCCTAACTAGCTAGCTTTTATAGTACCCGAGATTTTTGCATTTTTGGTTTTACGGGTTTTGTGGGCGTCAGGGTTTTCGGGCTAGATGGAAAAAAACCAATTCACAATTGGGGCATCATTTAAATCTACATGCTTAATAGGAACTTTCTATCACTTAAAGTTACCGAGATATCAGCTTTTCTACAAAATGCGAAAACCGTCTTTCGAGCTTGGTGGGCGTAAGAGTGGGTGTGACCGGATAATGGTACCACTATAAGATGCGCTTGCATCTCAAGATTATACATACCTAATTTCAACATTCTAGCTCTAATAGTTCCTGAGATTTCAGCGATTTTAGTTTTCAATGATTTGTGGGCGTTAGAGTAGGCGTGGTTGGGTGAAATAAACTTGCGCTGCGTACGCACCTCAAAAATCTGTTTGCTTAATCTGAACTTTGAATGTCTTATAGTTCCTGAGATCTCAGCGTTCATACGGACGGAAAGACGGACATTGCTTAATCGACTTCGCTATTTATACTGATCATAATACATACATATTATATACATTCTATTAACGAATCTAGTAAACACTTTTACTCTACGAGTAACAGGTATACAAATTTGTATAAAAATTTGTGCCGCAGGTTATTTTCACAACTTTTGTAAAAATTTGTATAGAAATATATATTGAATTTCCGGGCTTGATTACCCCAAATTAAGAAGTTTGACGGGATTTTATAAAAAGTCAAGGTGCCAACTTATAGATATAAAATTGCTAGAAAAATGAGAAATTCCGAAAAACTGTATTGCAGACACAGTGCGTCGGCTGTTGCACTGTAATAATTTTAACGGCCTTGTAGCGAAAAAAAACGTTCTTAACCTAAAAAAATGTATTTAAATTTTCTTAAATGATGTAATAGCATCTTCTGTATTCAACATCCTTTTGAGATAATGTCATTTTCGCGGTCGAATGGAAGTATAATCTTTTTGGATCAGATGAATTACTGTTAAAAACAAACACCTACTTAAATATTATAGTCAAGCATATGTTGACAAGCCTTAAAGCTCTTCAAACTACCGGTAAACTTGGCAGGCGACAACGATCCAAAACATGGAATATTTTGGGACCTAACCCCATGTAGTGATTACACAGGTCTGACCTGTGGGATATTTTGAAGATATTCGTCAAAGGCTAAGGGCTAAAAGAAATGCAGAATATTAGTACTTATAAAACCATTGTACAAGTTTAATATCTTATCTTATTTCTCAACTTTGACCGGGTAACTCCAAGATTATATTGTAAAAAATTAGACTATTTTGAGTAATTTAAAAAGTGCTTTTTAGCTAGAAAAGTCTTTCTAATCGAACTTTGAATTTACTTACTAATTACTTTGGCACTAGAGGTATTCCCAAATGTAGAAAATTCACCGACCAAAACTCTTTGTCACTCAAATTTGTATGCATAATTCTTTAAAGCAAATGGATGGTTTCAGTGCCCCGAAATAACTACTCAGTCTATTTAGACCATATGCATATTTACCCATTTTCATACAAACTTAATAAGGCGTAAGACGTATAGAATCAATTTCGCTTGCAAGAGTTTCAACTTGGCTTGAAGAATTCGAAGACCAAAAGGGTGTGTCCGACGCTGAAGAAGATCTTCAGATCAAGAAAGAGTGGGGTAGACAAGGAAACTGCAACGGAAGCGGGCTATCGCCTGGCCGAGAAGAAAGAGGGTGGGGGTGGCGGACAAAGGGCGGGGATCGCACAGTTTTGCCAGAAAAATGATCGTGACAACGTTTGTGCGGGCACGTTGTGCTGCCCCAAAACAGAATACATTAATTGACACTTGGCCGGAAATAGTTCATTAGGCATAAATTACCTACAGACAAAGCGTTTTCATTCTGCTCTGACTTTTCGTTCGCCATTTGCCTCCCCGACGGTTCAGTTGTTGATTTCAGTTGCTGGATTTCAGCGGCTTAAATGATCGGGGGACAAAATAGACAACCTCAGATGGTCATATTCTTATCTGAGCTGCAACTCTCTCACACACACGCACTTCTTCAGTTGCTGTCCTTCTTCAGCGCTCTATTCCTCTCTCTGTTGCTCTTTGGCAAGACCAACATGTGTGATCCGAATGTTCGTTTGTAAATTCTACAAACGAGGAAATACGATAATGAACTGAACTTGGACTCTACAACTGCAGCGAACGAAGGCAGCGAAAGAAAAAGGCCACAAAAATACACTGTGACGAAAACGAAGTCCCCTTCTTATGTCGGTTCAAGCATATATTTGAGGCTTAGTAATAAAATAACGCATCTGATGCTTAATATATAATAATAAAAATGTATGATTTCATATTGTATTGCCCGTGCTCAACAATAAAAGGGTAGGATCAATAGGACTGGCTTAATACTAACAAAATATTTTAGCTTCTGTATACCGCTTATTTTCTATTGCTCTAATAAGAAACTTTGGGACAGTGTATTGTTTAGGTGGATGTACGATTACACTTATTTTTCTTCACAATTGGGGTATTACTTGTTATGATCGGACCATTCGTATATTAGTCGTTCCTCCTATGTTTTTCGATGTAAATAAATACTTATACATATGTTTAGCTATACATATATACATATACATATGTATGTACATTTCAACATATGGATGTACATATGTATAAACTTTATCCATTTTAGCCCTCAGAAATCTCCGGGCATAATTACATGAATCACACGTTCTATTTTAAAAACTCCTAGCAAGGTGAAGTTGGAGTGTAGCGCTAAGCAACTTAGGCACATTCAGTGGCTCGCAGTTTATTTCGTGCAGTTACTAAAAAACTAAAAAAGATATTTAAAAAAATGTAAACCCAGTTTTTTAATAGGGAATATTAGCATGTTTATTAAACTAAAACGATTTTCATAATCATAGAAACAAAAAACTTATAAAACAAACTTATATAACAAAAACAAAATATTCAGCCTTTTCGTGCTTATTTCGTGCAGCAGATTCTACTTAACTTATTATTTGTAATTTAACAGCTAATATTTTGTACATATGCATACTTTCTGGATCAGGACAGCTTTGAAACAACAACAAATTTTTTTAGTGTAGCGGGAATAACGACTCAAACTTTTTTTAGCTAACTGCAAGGCACTGTATATGTATGTATGTATATTCGCCAAAAACCATTTTTTAAGCTTGATATATTCATGTTTATGTATTTATAAATAAATTCATAGTTTTTTGCACAAAAATTCTCGCAATATTTAGAAAAAATTGTTTTAAGAAATATTTAAAAAAAAAGTATGAACATTTGTATGTACATATGTATAAAATAATTCAGCCATAGGTAGTTTAAAAAATGTAAACTGTTTAAAAATAGGAATTATGCACACGTATTCTATATGCATGTGTACATACATACATACATACATACACATGTATGCATGTAGAACATGCATCCTAATTTTCTGGCGACTAGCTTAAGATTGAGTTATCGAAATTCGACAGCAGGAACTTAACATATACATATACATACATACTTACATATGTACATAAATAGATTTCCCTCTGAGAATTTTTTTGAGTTCTGCGGGAATTGTTGGGGTAGAGGTTAATTTTTCACAATTTGGGCTGAAATCCTCAGATTCCAACCACAGCTGATAAGCTAAAAGTGCAGGGTATTCCGTAAACAGCCACCAAGAAGGGCAATCGAAAACATGTAGTATACATACACTATACATGTATAGTGTTCGTCCGCTAAAAACCGAAGCCGAACGCGTCAACGGATTTTTGGATTACACACATTTTCTGTTTGCTGCGCACGGTTGTTTGTTTGTGTGCGTGTGTCTCTGCTTTTCGCTCGCTTTTACTTTCCATGGCGTGGCTTGCGATTGTGATTGCGATTAAACGGCGTTTTCCACTTGGAGAGTCCAATCGCGCTCTCTTGTGCGCCAAGAGAGCGCTTTAGACCTACATGGCTTGATCAGCTAGTAGAGGGGCTGCGACGCCGGCGCAGATAACGGGAACGGAGGCAGCAAGCCACAACTGAAGAGCGGGAGAGAGTTTAGAGCGCTGGCTCTCATGTCGAGCGCGCGTGATTTTCTGGCTCTGAAATGCGGGCTTGCTGGCAACTGCGCCGGCTTGACGTCGACTGCGGGGCAGCGCAGCCCGCTCGCCGCGGTGGTTGTTATTTTCTGGTCTTGGTTTTTAGTTGCCGTTTAAACTTGGTCGTGAGAGGGTAGCAGCCCTGTTTCGAGCCGCTCGCGATCGCGTCCTAAAACTGTGAGTACTGTGAGAACCGTACCAACACAAGCTTGCAGATCCAAATCCTCTAGCATATTCTGATGGCCCCCGTGAGTGGCTGTTCGCCCACCGCCACCCAATCGCTGCAGGACATGAGTGCCGCCGCAGCGGCTATCGCCCTTGACATGAAGCCTAAGGGGGAACCCCACCCCCTTTCCGCCGCCACTGTCATGCCCTCGCAGAAGATCAAGAAACGTGTGTACCCAGATTTATTACCCACAGTAAACACTCAATATCACTAATTTTTTTAAGACGAAGTGCATTGATCGTTCATAAATCACTATCAGAAAAATTAATTTTAACTTTTCGTTGCTCAATCAACTTATTAATCTTAAATCTAGAAAATTTCGATTTATAGAAGTTTTACTGTATATGTGCCGTAAAAGTGGTCTGAAAAAATAATGAATTGTTTAATGTTTAATATGGCAACCATTTTTAAAAAATGTTTTTTTAAGTTATGTCTATTTAATCGAGTTCTTTAGGAGTCTAAACAAGTAGAGACAATTCCACAATTCTTAACTTTTATACATACATATGTACATATGTGTATGCATTCATGTCTATATTCGACAGTGGTGCGCCGCAACGCCTCCGACAAGCTGAAGCTCATCCAAATGGTCCACGACAATCCAATTCTCTGGGACTCACGACTGCCCAACTTTAAGGGCGCCGAGGAGGAGAAGAATCGGGCCTGGGAGCACATAGGTCACGAGTTCAACGCTCCTGGCCGACGCGTAGCACGGGCCTTTAAGTCGCTGCGGGAATCCTATCGCCGTGAATTGGCCCACGTCAAGCTTATGGGGAACGGCTTTAAGCCCAAATGGAGCCTGTACGAGGCAATGGACTTCCTGCGCGACGTCATCAGAGAGAGAAAGTAAGTGCAAAACGGACACATTTAGAGCGATAAAGTGCTACAGTCAAATTCAAAGTATGTATATGTATACATATATCTTCTGAATTTTTAATTTGTTAGGTTTACGACACTTTTCTATATATCACTGTGCATGGTGATGTTGATCTCGAATAATATTGGCTTGGTTATGCCGCTGACTGTCTTCAAAAGATAAAGCTAATATCACTCTAGTTTAGAACTAGAAGACCTCTAAAGGAATTAAAGGAATTTTAGTTTGGCTTCCTTTTAAAGAGACGAATACTTCTTCATAGATTTCAGTTTTTATATTTTGTTATATTTTAATTAAACCAGAATCGACCAGCCGAAAACTAGTGATGAAACCCGCGTCTCTTTTTTTTGGGACTTTTAAATTTTTCTATGTAAAAGAAACAACATCTAAAAAAAAAAACATTTAAATTTTGTTGAAAGTTTTTAAGTTTTTTATATCTGTATTATACATATCTGTTTTTTTTCTAATGACAAACAAATATCATCCTTTGTATTAAAGTGGCTTTAAAAACAAAAATCTAATACGTCAGAGGCAATCTAGTTTTCTTCTTAAGTATATTATTTCAATTTTTTTATATCGGTAAATCGTATTGTTTTAAATTGTCAATGTTACTTGCACCAAAATTCTATTCGTTGACTTGAATTTCAGTGATATCGATAAGCCATGGCCAATATATCGAGTCATGAGCGAGGGTCAAAGTGCAACTCTCGTTGTGAATAACGGCTTTCAGTTTTGTATCGTTCTTTGTTGTTTTATTAGTGTGTCAGACTTGGCTTGATTCATGCTGAACTGAGAGCTGCGAATTTGAGCCTAGCAGGCCCACTCCCTATATGACTAACCTCCCTTCTACCGCTCCTGTATATATGTATGTAAGTTGAAAGGGCCCTCATAGATTGAAAATTGTCATTTCCCCCTAATAATTCAGTTGCTTCTCTGATAAGTAACGTGAACCTAGCTTAGCCAGACTCGATCAAAAATTAGTGCAGGGTAATTCCAAGAAGCTTATCATTTCATGGGAGTAGCCACTTCTTTTTAAGTTCACTATAAAAGTCTTCAGTGTAGATATGACCATGTGAGTCATTACTTAGAGCTAATAAGTTCTTAAAAATACACGCGAAATTGTGAAAGGATAAAATAATTAATACCATAAAGCAATAATATAAACACTTTCCTTTGTAAACATCCCAGCATTATTGTAAAATTACAATACATCACATACCAAATTTAATTGAACCGATAATTTTAAAATTGGTATTTTCATAATAGAATATTCCATATACCAGACAAGCCTTAAACATTAAAATGCAGTTGACCTACTTATGCCAAATCTAAAATTTCCGTGCGTCACAGATAATTTCCTTTTAAGCCTCCATACACAACACTTATTCCTTAGCCCTGTGGTCTTGCATAAACTCCCATCCAGGCGAACAAATCTCAGTTTTGTATCTGAGAAAACATCTGCCGGGGAAAAAGAATAGCGAATACAGCATGCATGGGTATACACTAAGGAGCGGTAATGTGGAAAAAACCAACCCGAACAAAGGAATGACCGGGCCAGAGACTCGCAAATGGTCTCAGTCAAGAGTCTGCCCCGTCCAATGTTCTGGCTCATATGGAGCCGTGCTCGAGCTGCGGGTATGGGTGTATGTGTGTTGTACTTTATGTACATATTTATATGAAATAAGGCCATTTCCTTTCAATTGACTGTACCCACATGGGCAACAAGCAGTCGACGGCCCGACCCATGCCCGCGCACACTCATCCATGGTGTGTGTATATATTTAAATTTTTATTATTTTGAGCTGATAACAGACAGCTTAACGGGCCCGGCCATTCGAACAGCGCTTGAGCTGGAGCTATAGCCGCAGCTAAAGCCCCAGCCATAGCCATAAAACAGATCTCGGCAAGAGTGAAAATTATACAACGGCGCAGACTTGTTCCTACTTGAACCAAAAATAAATTGAGGGAAGCTGCAGGCGCAAGCCCAATGAAAAGTGCTGCGGGAGGGGTTCGGGACTATGTGAAGGCGGCGAGAGAGCGTTAAATTAATGAGAGCACTACGAAAATGACAATCAGTACTGAAGAATACGGATTGCGAGTGGACCAAGTTAGTTTCTCGCGAGCGAGAAAGGGGTTGGTGATGGTGAGGGAAAAATATGTGAGGCTCAGACTATACATACATATATACAGAGCATATGTGTATATGGATCGGTGTATGGGTAAGCAATTGAACGAATCGCTCGCACTGGCTTCGACCAGGGTTAAAAAATATGCCCACGGCCATTAGCCAGACAGATCGGTCCCGGCCAAGGGGTTGCTCCGATCCGGTAACGAGGTCTGGATCCCTCTCCCAGATCCATGCCCATGCCCATGCCCACATTCACTCTGTGCTCAGTCCTCTCTTGATCTGGATCTCTTCTACTCACACACTCGTGTCCACATTGATATGAATGTTCTGGCGAGCTCTGGCTGAGTCAAACTTATGATTTAATAAGCAAATGAGCTGCGAAATTACTAAAATTGTTTGTCTCTCAGTCATGCCCATCATATGAATCTCGAACCACGTCCCGAAATCACTGTCCAGCTATTTTTTGTCTTAGAATGCTTAAGCTAATACGTAACGGAAGGATAGTGGGATTTAGTCTGTTTTTGCCCTTTGGTTCCCGGGATCGTGAGACTTTTGTTTATAAAAGGCTCTGTTTACAGTTGATTTATATTTTAAGGATGGTTATTATAAGCTGTGATGTCCTTAAAACCTGACAGTATACAAAATTTAATATGATTCATTATATAAAAAAAATGGATTTTTTGAATGGTTTTAAAGTGCAAGTTAATAAGATCTAAGATAAGAAACCGCAAGGCTCAAAAACCTAGCAAAATACGCCACAAACTAGAATAAATGGATTGGACCTGCGACTGAGCGGAAGCAAACATTGATAAGCCAAACGTTTCAAAACCCGAAAAGAAACCAAACCAAAATAGAGTCAAGACCTTAAAAGTCCCAAGCAAATATAGCCGGCCCCGATTGTCGAACATGTGAAAATGTGTACCGGTGCGATTAGTCCTGCGAGGTTTTGGTCGTGTACCATGTATCAACTTTCAAATTTTTTAATTGTCAACTACCTGCGGCTCTTTTTTGTGATAAGCAACCTTGCAACCGGGCAGGGAACTCCTCAGAACTCAAAGGAACTCAGAGAACTCCCCCAGATCGCAGCATTTGGCAAAAGCCTCAAGAGTTGGGGAAGGCCTAAAATAGAAACGTTCAGCGTTTTCGAGCACCCGGCAAAAGCAGCTGCATTGCCTGGGAAAATGTTTTTGAAACTTGAGACGCGGGCTGAGACAGGAAACCAGACTGCTAGCTTGGGACATTAAAATAATTTCTAGTTATTTTCCCTATATTTATAAATTCATTCATTATAGCGTTGAAATGTCGTTTGGATTTTTTTGAGGTCTTAAAAATGTGAAAAATTTGACAAGTTTTTATGCTGTAAATATGACTTTTGAAATGGTCTCAAGGCACATATGTACCCACTTGTATAACTTATAAATTATGTCTAAGTTGTACTATAGCCAAATACTACCGCTATGTTTAAAATTTTTTTTAATGATTAGAAGGTTTCTTAGTTTTATAGGCATAGACTGGGCATCGGCTTTATCTGTAAACGCTAGTATCATCTGATTTTAAGGTATATGTGCCAATTAGGAGTCGTTTGAGTATAAAGTAAAATAGAAGGCATTATAGTTGTAGATCGTTTCTATACTTCTAGTAAGAGATGGCAATAATAAAATTGTACACCTTGCCAATTTCTTCTAAGATAAATATTTTGAATTTGGCTAACAATGTTAAGGGTATATGGTAGTCGCGGCAGTCTACTATAGAGTCCTTCTGTTTTTATTAAAAAGAAAACAAAAACCACTTTTTTATTATTATATTCTTACTTTAATATTAGCGGCTAATATGTTGAATAGTCGTTCAGCGATTAGTGATTATTTTTAATTGATAGATATACCAATGTAACGCTTCCTTCTTTGTTTATAAATATTTCAGGGGCGCATCGCATGCAACCGATCTCAGCCTGAACGCTTATGCCCATATAAGCAACAACAACAATAACAACAATAACAGCCTGGGAGCAGCCGGAAAAGCGGTGGCCCTGAAGCTTTCTTCGTCCTTCAGCGAGTCCGCCGCAGTGTTAAATCTCTCAAAGTGCTCCTCGTTGAATGTCAGCGGCGATGACTACTACTGCGATTACTACGTGAAACCCGAGCTAGAGCTTACTGAGGGCGGTGGAGCTGGAAGTAGTAGCAGTGGCAGTAGCTCTGGCGGTGGACCACTTCCACTGCCCGCTCATCAACACCCGGCTCACAACGACAGCCGGGTGAGCTCAACACGCAACGAGCGCCAACACCTGCAGAACAGCTACGATGACATGGACGCCAGCTCGATTCGAAGTGGAGATGACGACGTTGTTGAAGAGTTGGATGCCATTGATGCTGACTTTCCATATCCTCTGATCCTTGACTCGAACTCACGTGGGAGCACCAATGCTGGCGTGGACGAAATAACCTCTTTGCGCAAGCGTCGCCGCATAGCCGATCAGGACACCCTGGATGATGGTAATGGCGATGGCGATGCTGTCATCGATGACGACGACTATGAGGAGCAGATGTTGCAGCAGCACCGTCATCTTCGGCAGCAGCAGGGTTCATCTGCCACTGGAGGGCTTGATCTGCCGCCGCCACAAACTGTGCGTGAGGTTCTTAATTCTAAGTTTTGCGGCTTTATTTCTGCTAAGCTTAACAGCATGGAGGACTCGGAAGCAGACAATCTAATGAACCGCATTCTTCTGTTGCTGGTTCAAGTTCAGCAGAACGATGGGTCCACCAAATAGACGATATGAGAGATATGAAGTTATATTATCAAAAAAAAAGCTCATTATAGATTAATGCAGCTGCTCAAAGCACTCATAACGGATGCATTTATTGACATTCGTTTCAACTTCCCTTGCCATAAGAAATGTTAACTTAATTGCCAATGCCAAATCGGTGCCATACCAAAAAGATCAAACAAATAAGAATGGTTTTATAAAGAGATTATACCATTTTTTCGCTCTCATTTACTACAAAGAACAAAACTGAATAAAAAGACAACACAAAGACGAAAACAAAGAAAATAGGTAAAATAGGAATTTAGTGTAATTAAATTTCAAATGTTAATATTGTTTTAAGCGATCAACTGTAAATCACACTGACGCTAACGTCTCATCACATGAAACTATTATTCTATCAGAATCAGATCGCTGATCACCTTTAATATCTTCTTCTTTTTAAATTGAAGAGTTAAGAATTGAATATATCTATTTCACTATTTTTCTATAGTGAACCAGCCATCATATTACTGTTAGTTTTACAACGAAATATATATTTATAATTTTTTAGAAACCATACGAACGACAATTGTAATTATTTTTGTTATTCAATAAAATACCATATATATGGTAGAAAACGTAGTTAGTAATCTCTATTTTAATTAATTAATTTTAAATTATATTTAACATGCTATCCTGATTTGCCCGCGGAAACCTTAATCATAGGACCAGATGATATTCATTCATCTCTGTAAAACCCTGTTTACGTGAATTTCAGAGATGCCGTGTCATTGATACAGAAGGCGTCATATAATATAAGCAGCCAACAAAAGACAAGAACACCGCATGCGGCACAGCCTGAGATCTTCGCACACTGGAACGGCCCAGGTTTCGCAGATGTGGGCATGCTGAGGCGAACTGGACCAAATCGGGTCTGGGTAGCCCTGCTACGCCGCCATTAATGAAACTTGAATATCATAAGAAATTCAGGGTACCCCAGGCAGACTGAGGCATAGCTATACCTAAATGTAAACAACCCTTATCAACAGATTTGGCCAAACCAGATAACAAACCCTCAAGGCCCGAAAAAATAGCGCCGCGCATGCGCAGAAATCTGCCTTGGCCACAAATCAGCATAAAACTGGTTTTCCATTCAGTGATGGCTGAATGAATTCATTGTTAGCCGTGTTTTATTGCCGCTTAAGGGATGCTGCCTGGGATTTCGACTATGTAGTTTCCGGAGTTGGGTTCAATGACCATCGTCGGCTGTCGAGGCTAAACAATTAGATTGGCTTATTTATATTATTATATTTTACCTAATATTAGGTAAAATTATTTATATGTCGAAAGATATTGACCAAAGAAATAAGTACTTCATTCAACAAAATGTCAGGAATATCAGGGCCCTTGAACACTTATATATTTGAAATGCCGAAGTTTGGCGGGAGATACTTAGAGAAAGTTGTATGCAAAACATTTACTTTTCTAAATCGACTCAAGCATAATATTATAAATTTTCGTATTCGTACACTCCAACTATTCTAGTCCCTTGGCACTTATATCTTTATACATATATACTTTGACAGTTGCGATACTCGACTGCCGAGTTTCCATTTGTTATTTTCTGCAAAAACTAATTTTACAATAGACAACATTTTCCAAAAATGATCCATTTTAAAATTGGAAAAGAAAGGTAAAATAGGCTTGGTAAGAAGAAATTTGCTTTTACTGGACTGAAAAGATTTATATGGCTTTGTATAATGTCCCCTGTTATAGTCGAAATTAATTATATTTTATAAAAGTTAGTGGAAGTCACGTCCAGTCTAGATTCTACAAGCAGGAAACAATTTCGATGCTCCTTTCAAGTAAGAAGGAAGAAATATTTATTAAATGTCCATGTCCGTCTGTCCGTCCGCCCGTCCGTATAAACGATGAGATTTCAAAAACTATAAGAGATACAAAGTTGAGATTAAGCATGAAGATTCTTTAGGTTCATACGCAGTTTATAGGCAAGTTTATTCATCCTGCGACGCCCACTCAAACGCCCACAAATAACGAAAAACTAAAATCTTTGAAATCTCAGAAACTATTAAAGCTAGAAGGTTGAAATTTAGTATGTATAATCCATAGATTCCAGGGAATCTTATGGTGGTACCATTATCCGGCCACACCACCTCTTACGCCCACCAAGCGTATTTTCTAGAAAAGCTGATATCTCGGTAACTGTAGGTACTAGATAGTTCGGATTAAACATGTAGTTTTTGCGAATTGCGAATTGTTTCCGATCAAGCCACGCCCACTCTAACGCCGAAAAACAAAAAAAAGTTGTGCTTTAGAATACGTTTTTAAGAAATGCTACTGCAACTTGCCCCTAGTTTTCATCCGGCCACGTTCACTCTAACGCCGACAAACCGCAGGAAAACTGTGGCGTTTATAATATTATAGTGTATGTCTTCGTTTTACCAAAGATTTTTTTTAAATCGCAACATTATTTCGCTATTTATGAAGAAATTTAGGTTATAAGGCATCACATGGGCTCACATCAGTTAATCAATATGCTTTCTCCAACAATAGGTGGCGGTTTGGGAATTTCCATAAGCAAAATGAATATTTTAAAATTGTGTAAAACAGTAATGGGATATAGTTTCCTCTTGTTTTTTGCTTCTGTCTTTGACTACGTTCGGGCTCTAAGGGAGAGCAATAAAAAGCTGAAGATTGCTCTGAAATGGTTTTGTCACACCGAAATGAAATCACAAAGCATAATTACTATGTATGAGCTACAATACCCATTTTAAAATTGGCTCTAGCTCTTTTCTTAGCACGTTAAAAGTTTCGTTACTACTCTATTCAGCACAAAACTAACTTTTCTTCGTAACTATAATAATTCACTCGGATCTATTCCCGTGTTTCGAGCCGTACGTCAGACGGCTCCGCTCCTCGGTCGGTTGGGCGGGAGGTGGTCACTTGCACGTAAAGCAAAGGGAGCCCCGCGAAAAAAAAATGATCTTCCGCCTACTACCACTATACGGCCACAACAACATTTACATACTGAGAATAACTCTAGTTACATATAACAAAACTGCGTTATCCAATTTTAAAATAATAAATTCATTAGCAAAATTTACGCAGTGAAAAATTTTACCACCCCATGCAGGAAAAATGCATGTGACTTTTCTTACCTTGTGAGACATTATAACTTACGTTTTTTAATATATTTTGAAATAATAATAAAATTCTGATTAGGAAAAAATTTGTCAAATGTCAAAAATTAAATTTTAATATTATGAAAGCCACTGTTTCTCGTGGCTTGTGGGATATGGCAGAATGTCCTTGACCACCCTTAGGTGCTGTGAAATCTTACACTTAATCCCAACTGTCTAGCGCTAATAGTACCCGAGATTTTTGCGATTGATATAACGTAACTTGATATGACAATAGTTGTGGGATATGGCAGAATGTCCCTGACCACCCTTAGGTGCTGTGAAATCTTACACTTAATCCCAACTGTCTAGCGCTAATAGTACCCGAGATTTTTGCGTTTTAGTTATCCGCGTTTTGTGGGTGCTATAGATAGCATGACTACATACGGAGGCGGCATTAAAATACGTTTGGAATATTATTAATTAATTTCATTAAAAAATGATTGGTAGTATTTGCCAAACTAAAACTTGATATAACGTAACTTGATATGACAATAGTTAACATAAAAATAAAGGGTAAAGAAAAAAATTTAAGTTAAAATATATATCCTGTTTATTATGTGAAAAACAGAAATGAACAAAATTCGTAAGTTTCTAAACATTTTTTCATGTTTTTGATAATTTCTATGATCTTGGTTATTGCTTTCGGATTGCTCACTAACGTGACAATATGTAGCTTTGTTCATGGAATTCTCACATGTCTTTATAGACCTGCTTCCTGAAGGCAACCAGTTTCTTCGACCAAGTCGTCGATATGTCCTCTTAGCTCGCCGAGTATATTGATTTGTTTTGCGCGAACATTAGTTGCGGTAGAGAGGGTTTCCCCATGTCTGTGGTCAGTTCCATCCAGTCCCTGAGCTGTCAATCTTTCCAGGTCCTTAAGCAGGAAGTCTCTCTCCCACGATGATGCCGAAATTACTTGGCGCAGTCCAAACTGAACTTTGGCATAGTGAGAAGAGATTTTGAAAAGCGCCTCTTGCAGCTGCTCCACTTCGTCCTCGAGCTTGCACTCATATTTTGTCATAACACGGCGGACTAAGTGGCCTTCTGAGTCAAGATCGCTATGAAGTCGATCCTTTCCGAGTGGTGCCTTCGAACGCATGGTTAAATTGCAGCTTCTCTTGTTGGACGCAACGATATCTTGATCATTATATCCATTCATATTTCGTGGAAACCCTTAAAATTGACTAGATTCTTTTTCTAAAATGTAAATATTTAAAATAACAGCTAAAGGTTTATTTTGAAAGTGATATTCAAAGCAAAGTACATAGTCACACTAATATCGCCTTTAAAATACGAAAAAGTTCCTGATAATGTTGTAGATCAAGGTATCTGATATCGATAGCTTATAATCTTAAAACTTTGTTGCGCATAGAAACAGCCATCACTTAAATATGATTTCATTATCTTCTACTAAATGCAATTGTGTGAGACTAGATCAAGCTATCATTGTATTCCTATTAAGGGGTCCCTTGAACTCTTTTAAATTCGAATTCAAAATAGCAAAAAATAGTAAAAGAATCGCTTTAAATAAAAAATACAAGTATATTCAACTTTTTGCTTTAACTGGTGAAGGCAAATACTAGGATTTCGTGCTTTTTTAATTTTTGCAAGTAGGTAACATTCTTCCTCATTTATCTTCTATGTACATATTTAATTCGGCTTTTAAGTTCCTAAATATAAATATTTTTTTTAATTTCAGATCATTAATTTTGGTTTTTTATTTATTTCATATCTAATGTTGATATTTATTTTCAATAGCCTATATAGAACGATATGGATAGGACCTTAATTCATCTTGATTACTGGACGCAGTCAAGTAAGTCAGCTTAGAAACCAGTGCCTGCTTTTAGGCATTATGTTTTATATTCCTCAATGCTTGGGAATGCCAAACCCACAGAGTCAGAATAGAAATCATTCAGGAATGTCGGAGTAGAATGTCCACTTCTAGACTTAGTCTTACAAGTTTTTTGTAATATTAAATTTAATCAATTTCCATTCCCTAATTAATTTTGAATTGATTAAGGCTTACGTAAAAACAAACATTAGCCACCAGATGCTAGTAGAAAATTTATTTCCCAGTGCATAACAGAGTAATAGGATGTTTATATGATACTATAGCGTTACCAGTATAGCGTTATTTAAATGATTTGTCTTTTCTACAAGAATTGGACCAACATAAATATAAATACCTATAGTTTTATTTCCAAGCTTGATACCAAACTGCATTTCATATTATATTTTCGACTGACTACTTTTATATAATAAAAGTTGGAAGGAAAAAACACTAATAAATGAAATAGGTTTTAAACAGTCGTTGTATTAAATTAAAGCAACATACTCGTAGATGAATCCATATTCACAGTAAGATTAATTTGGTATAGCAGAGGAAATGGAAAATATCTGATTCATTGACATTCGGACTTAACTAGTTAACTGCACGGCTATTGTTAGGTGTCTCGACGGCCACGCACCTTTTACTACATTATCGTTCTCTGTTCATTTTAAAATAAGTAGTTGTTGCTAAGCCCCGGAGTGTAGATTGGTATTGCCAAAAAGGAAGAAATAAAGTCCAGCCCAACTTTTTTTTTTATATAATCGGCTCAAACTTGCTGTCGCTGATCGTGTGATTTATGTGGCTGTGGCTGCTCTGGAAAGTTGATCCAACATTCTCGCTCGTATAGTTCCCGAGACTAAGACGTTAAGGAATACAATATACCTTTTTACTCTACTAGAAACGGCTATAACAAAGCTTTGTTTCTGCGGCGTAGTGTGCTCGACGGTTGTATGCAGCACTAGCATGCAGCTTGTGCAACAACCTTAAAAATTGCCTGTTGTAATGAATGCCTGCCCTAGTCCCTTTCCACCATCACTTAAACCTTCTGGCAACCGATCCATTAATCGCCAGCTCTGCATTTGCGTCTATTTCTATGGTCGTGTCTATCAGTATATCTCTACATTAATGCCTAAGGCTTCAAGGGCAGAACACACCAACCATATTTTCGTGTATCCAAAAGATTTAGTCGTGTCGCGAGCAATTGATTTGCCGTGTCAAGTCCCCAACCAGATTCAGACGACTAGAAGTCTGCTGCAAGCCCTTGAGGAAATGCCGAACTGGAGGATCAGAGAACCAGCGTAACGTGGCTCCATGCTTGGAGCAAGTGCCTAGGTGCATCATTTGTAAGCGGATGAGCATGAAAACTTTATCAGGTTTTAGGGAAATTGAAAGGCGAAGCTTGGTTGCTGGCAGTAATGCCAGTCGCTGTTTTGCGTGGGAGCGACATATAGATAAATCGATTTTTTTGGTTTCATTAATCAGTAGTGGGGAAGGGTGGCGCGAATGCGACAGATGCGACAGTCAAAAGCGACTCTGTATCTCTCAGAAGAGCCTGTCGGCCTCATTGCTAGTAACATTCCTCCAAATATAAAATTTCCTCAATCATCGGAATAAATTGTTTTTCTTTTTATTGTTTTCAGGGGCAAAGATTGTTAATATTTGGCGTTATCCAAAATCTCAATGCCCGCTTATTTTTAAAATCATGATTGGTTCTAAGCCAAAAACAAGAAGAAACGCTATAGTTGAGTGCCGAGACTTTAAGATACTCGTTAAAAATTTTATTAAAAATGAATTTTAAATATTCACAAAGCGCCGCCTATTGTCAGAGAAAGCATGTTGAGTAACTGATAGTGAGGCCTTATAACCTTAATTTCTTCATAAATAGCGAAATAATGTCCCGATTGGAAAAATCCTTGGTAAATCAATTGATATTAACAAAAATATATTATACAAGGTCATACAAAAACACACACTATAATATTATGGACGCCACAGTTTTTCGCGGTTTGTGGGCGTCGGAGTGGGTGTGGCGGATCAGAGAACCAGCGTAACGTGGCTCCATGCTTGGAGCAAGTGCCTAGGTGCATCATTTGTAAGCGGATGAGCATGAAAACTTTATCAGGTTTTAGGGAAATTGAAAGGCGAAGCTTGGTTGCTGGCAGTAATGCCAGTCGCTGTTTTGCGTGGGAGCGACATATAGATAAATCGATTTTTTTGGTTTCATTAATCAGTAGTGGGGAAGGGTGGCGCGAATGCGACAGATGCGACAGTCAAAAGCGACTCTGTATCTCTCAGAAGAGCCTGTCGGCCTCATTGCTAGTAACATTCCTCCAAATATAAAATTTCCTCAATCATCGGAATAAATTGTTTTTCTTTTTATTGTTTTCAGGGGCAAAGATTGTTAATATTTGGCGTTATCCAAAATCTCAATGCCCGCTTATTTTTAAAATCATGATTGGTTCTAAGCCAAAAACAAGAAGAAACGCTATAGTTGAGTGCCGAGACTTTAAGATACTCGTTAAAAATTTTATTAAAAATGAATTTTAAATATTCACAAAGCGCCGCCTATTGTCAGAGAAAGCATGTTGAGTAACTGATAGTGAGGCCTTATAACCTTAATTTCTTCATAAATAGCGAAATAATGTCCCGATTGGAAAAATCCTTGGTAAATCAATTGATATTAACAAAAATATATTATACAAGGTCATACAAAAACACACACTATAATATTATGGACGCCACAGTTTTTCGCGGTTTGTGGGCGTCGGAGTGGGTGTGGCCCGTGGCAAGTTGCAGTGGCATCTCTTAAATACGTATTCATAAGCACAATTTTCTAGCATTAATAGTTCCCGAGATTTTTGTATTTTTGGTTTTCCGGGTTTTGTGGGAATTGTGGCTAGATAGAAAAAAAAACCATTCGCATTTGTAGGATCAAAAACCCTACATGCTTATTTCGGCCTTTCTATCACTTATATTCTGGGTGCAAATCGAGGTGCGTAGCCCGTCGAGGAACAACGTCAGTTGTCAGCAGTTGCGGATTTAAAATGTGAAGCACATTTGAGAGAGGCACGGCAGCCGAGAGAGAACGGCTCTCGAAACGCACCGTACTGAGAGCTTTATGGCAAGCTCTTTGGCTGGAAGGTCGCGCTTTTGTTGTACAGCAACCTATTTAAGAGTGCTTGACGTTTACTTAAGAGCGTATATAAAACTGGGAATATTCCTCATTCCTTTACTGAGAGGTCGACGAAGAGGGGCCTTGTTCACGGGGACCATACAGTCCCCTTATACGAACCTACGGCATTCCCAATTTTCCAATCAACCGAAGTGTGCAGCATTTGAAAAGAGCTGAGAGAGTCTAACTGCACTTTGGCCAATTTCGCTGTCATTTCGCCGGAATCCTTGCAGCTTTCGGGAAAATATGGACGAATTTATGCGTTTCAATGTTCAATCTTAATATTCCGGAACATAATTCGCAGAAGTGGGTTGCCAAACGTTAGAGCTGGGAGTGTCCGGCATCAGTTACTTTATACATCGGCCCTTGTCTCTCATTGGAAGACTTCTGGACTTTCCGCCCGACTTCGATGGAGAACTCGAATCCGATTCCAGATAGACATGCATTTTCCGTCATCCAGCGACTGCGTTCAGTTGCAAACGGACGATTCAGACGAACTGTTCAAAGCTCGGTTGTGTGAAAAGCTGAAGCTGCAGTCTAGAATAAGTAAGAAACGTAAATACACGGGCCAAAGTGCCTTAAATGCGGTAAGTCCCGGCTCCGACAGCTTTTGACAGTTCGACCACGTCTCCGATTCTATCCGTGCTACTCGTCGGCTCCGTTTAGTGCCCGGGAACTGTTATTTAGACAGTGTGTTTTGCGTGCGTATACTAAATGAAAGGAATTCCAGTAAATAAGAAAAAACACCTATTCGGGAAAGCCATTAAAGTGCTATAAGCGCTGTAGGGCTTTTCATTGGGTTTTCGCTAATAATTTTAGACTTATTTTGATTTTAATCAGCTTTAATTCTAATTATTTTTTTTTTAATCGGGGCAGAAATTTAACTTTGAAAATTCAACAGGATTTGCTTTCTCAGTTGAAAAGTTTTGGCACGTGTCAGAACCTTGGAAGTTCTGCGGATTCCCATTAAGGTACTAACGAGGATAATAATAGTTCTGCATTGTGATGGGCATATAATCGCAAAAGGGGTTTGCTCTCCGCAGACTGTCCCATTCAATATTTATCTTCGGTTCCTCTCGGAAAATAACGAATAAGCTGCCGCGTAAAAAATATTATATTTTACAAACGATCAATCGCATGTGAGAATAAACTGTGCAAAAAGTAAATGACCAAATACTGATCTAAGTGCAGGTTATTTCAAATTATTAGCACTTAAC